ACAAAATACCAATTTATAAACTATCAAGGGCTCATGAGGGAGGGGGAGCGGGGAGGGAGGGGAAAAATGAGGACCTAATGTCGGGGGTTTGAGTGGAGAGAAAATGGTTTGAGAATGATGTACAAATGCGCTTTACACAATTGATGTGTGTATGGATTGGGATAACAGTTGTATGCGCCCCTAATAAAATGTTTAAAAAAGAAGAAGGGCGGGGCCATGTGATGTTGAGATGGGGACCCCTCCCTTCAGTCTCCATCAGCCTTGGAGAAGGCGTGTGTTTGTGTGTGTGTTGTTGGACAGCTGTTTTTACTCACACCTATAGTCTCTCAGTGCCCATCTGGGAAGGACAGGGCCACCCTCCAGTCAGCAGCTACTGCCATGTCCTCTCCAGTTTTGTCACCATGTCTGTCCCCTGCAGACACCTCTCCAACCCCCAAACCAAGCCTGCAGCCACCGAGTCGATGGAGGGTTTCCAAGACTTTAAGTCTTGAAAGAAGCAGACAGCCTCATCTTTCTCCCTCGGGGCGGCCGGTGGGTTTGATCCGCTGGCTTTACGGTTAGCAGCCCAGTCCATAAGTGATCTTCTCCAGCTGTGGCTACATCCTTCCTCTGGAAGTGTGAAAGCTACAAGAGGAAAGATGGCATCCCTGGGAGTCCTCGTCACCAGGGCAGCAGAGGGCACAGCTCGGTGATGGGTGGAGGCTTTGGGGACTCAGGCCACACCCTTTATTCCAGAAACAGAGTCACGTTCACTCCTGACAATCCAAGCAGTGTAGTGTGGGGGGCAGGGAGAGGCCGCCTGCCCCTTGGTGGCCACGCATGTTAGGAGCCTCCAATGATGTGCCTATAGTTGGCACTAATCACCCATTGAGGGTCAAGAGGACTGCATTTCCCAGAGGGCAGAGTTGAGGAGGGTCAGGGAAGGAGAAATAGAGATGGGAGACGCAGCAGGCAGGGTGCCCAGGGGGTGGCATATGGAGGTGAGGACATCTTGGTGAAAACAAGGAAATGGAACGTGCGTCAGTGGCCGAAGCTTCATCCGTTCTCAATAAAAAGTGTGAAGTCAGCCACCCCTCCAGTCTCAGCAGTGCTGCGTCACCCCGAGTCCCCGACTTATTAAAACCACCTGTTTCCACCATTTATAAACAGCTGGGTTTGATTTGTCAAAGAGCACACGGGACTTTGTCTTGTATGTCTAGCAATCACTTGGGAAACCTCTCCCATCTTAGTGGTGTAGTGGTTACACGTTGGGCTGCTAACCATAAGGTCAGCAGCTCAAAGTGTCAGAAACCCACAGGGGCAGTTCGACCCTGTCCTATAGGGTCCCGGTGAGTCAGCATCGACTCCATGTAAACCGTGAGGAGCAACTGATCAGGTGGGATTCTTTTGGTTGTTTTTTCCCCCCTTCTTTCCCCATGACCCCAGTTTTTAATGCATTAGGAATGTATTTCTAGCTGAGCGGATGCCCCTTGCTGAATAGTCAAGTTCAGTAATAAATACCTAGTTACTGCTGCATCGTTTCCCTATGATCAAGAGGAATAGAGTGATAATGTACGAATAAGCCCGACCCCAACCCACTGCCACCAAGTCCATTCCAACTCACTGACCGAGGACAGAGAACTGCCTGCAAGGCTCTCAGGACCGATGGTCATCTCTTCTGGAGCGGAGGGTCTCATCTCTCTCCCCAGGAGCAGCAGCAGGTGGGCTCAACCTGCTCACCTTTAGATTATCAGGCACTGCACCC